CGACGCAATAGTCATGCACTTTAGTGGCATTTTTGTAATAAATGTCATAATAGTCATACACTTTAGTGGCGTTGTTGCAGTAAATGCCACAATAGTCATGCACATGAACGACGTTTTTTATAAACATCGCAATAATCATGCACTTTAGTGGCTTTTTTTTTAATAAATGTCGTTATTGTACAATCCTTTTAACCCACCGGGTTTCAAATCCCTAATTGTTTCAATCCTATTTTCTCTAATTTTTCCTCTAACTCCCAGCCATCACAGTGAAGCCACCATCGTGCAGCCATCACCACAACCGCAATATCACGCTGTCGTCGTCGGTTTTCGGTCACCAATAGGTATAGTTTGAAGACGCCCAAATTAATCTCGATCTTTCAGCTCTCTTTTTCTTTCAAACTGATTTCCAATCCCTAGCCCAGCACAACCATCGTAGCATAGCCACCATCAGAAGCAAGCATCGTCGTCGTCACACTCTTCCAGCCAACCACTTGGTATGTCTTTAAGTTCATTCCACTCCTTTTAAGCCCTCCATAAACAAATGTGTATATATATATTAACATAAAATATATTTTTAAATGAAATAAAAATAAATACTTTTAAATAAAATACTTTTACATAAAATATTCTCCCAATTTGCTTTCCCTTTTTTATGTCAACCAAAGGGTGACACATGTAACTCTTTGATTGGTGAAAATAAATATATCAAATTAAAATAAAGTTAATCCTTCAACCGAATGGTGACACGTGGCATTAGGGGTGAGCAAAACTTGACTCAATTTGAGGAACCGATTTTACGACTCGACTCTTGAAAACTTGACTCGAATTAACTTCGAGTTGTAATTTCATAAACTCAACTCGACTAAAAAATTTCAAGTTCAAACTGAGTTGTAAAATACAACTCGAATAACTTGATAATTTTAGTAATTAGTGGATTGGTTTTCAAGTTTGCGTTGAGTCCCTCGACTCTATATCATAAATATATATCATATATGAAAAAAATATGAAGAAATACACATGTATTGTATATGGTTATAAAAGATCATTTAAATTGGAATCAAATAATATCATAATATTATAAAAATTTATAATTAAATTTAAACAGAAACTCAAAAATTTGACTCGACTCAACTTTAAAAAATTTCAAGTCAACTTCGAGTTCTAAAATAAGACTCATCAACTCGAATAATTTACATTTTTTGCTCAACTCGACTCGGATCTATAGAACGCTCACCCCTACGCGGCATGACATGTGGCATCATTCGATTAAATGATTAAATTTATTTTAATTTATTAAATGTATGACTAAATTGAGAGAATATGTAAATAAAAGGGACCAAATGTCTGATTGTATCAAAATATTTAACTGATGTTAACGACAATTAACTCAGGTTGATCACATCTTAATTAAATAAAAACGAAAGTGACCATATATTATGTTTTTTAAAATCAGTGACCAAAAGTGGACAAAACATAAACATAAGTGATTTCTTATGTAGTTAACCCTTTTATATAATGAGTATACAGCAAAAATCCAACAAAGTCGGAGTCATGGAGACAGAATCTTTATTCAGAAAGGCTAAGGTATAGCATTTAACTTACTGTACAAGATGCCCCCTTCAGTCTCTCTTATATTCCAATTACATCCTTTTCTTTCTTATATTATTAAATAAATAAACAAAAGATGAGATAAGATTGCCATATTTGATTTGATTCAGCATCTTTGGTCCCAAAATTATACTCTTTTTATCATTTAGTATTTAAAAATCATAAATTATTATTATTATTATTATTATTGATTAAGTAACATCATCAGTAATATGACGTAGTCCAATTACATCATATGTTATAGTAAAGAAGTGTCACATGATAATATATTATTTATTCATTATTTAATGTGATACAATTAATATTTTATTTTATTTTTTTAATATATGAATCATTTATTAAAAGTTTAAATCTAAAATTAGTTAACCCGCGAGAATATTTATATTGTTAAACGAAATTCCTCCCTATTGTTTGTGCTCTCATGTGTCACTAGAATAATTTATCTATTAAAACTTAAACGTGAAGCAATACCCTAAATGATTCTATAAATATCAAAGAAATCAAAGGCACCAAATCAACTTAATTTCTGAGAGAAACAAGGGAGTTAGAGTTCCATTAATGGATTCTCATCAACCGAACAAGGTCGAAGATGATGATGATGGACGATCAAGCATCGACGATGATGAGAGTTGTCGATATTGACTTTCAAAAGGTCATCAGGGTTTCGATCATCTTCAACTACAACATCAATCTCTTGAAGGTTATCAGAGTCCTAATCATTTTCAACAACAACATCAAACTCTTGAAAGTTTGAGTTTTAGTCATCCTCAGCTAGAGTTGCCTCAACGATCTTTTGAAGAGTATGTTCAAAGCTACGAGAGTTTTCTTCATCAAAAGAATCGGCCTCCTAAAAGTTATCTGAATTCTAGTTATCTTCAACAACATCCACATATGGAAAGTCACCAAAGTTTCGATCATCTTCAACAACAATTGCCTCGACAATATTTTGAAGAGTATGTTCAAAGTTATGAGAGTTCTCTTCACCGAAAGAGTCGACCTTCTGAAAGTTATCAGAGTTCTGATCATCTTCAACTTCAGTATCGACCCTTGAAAAGTTATCAAAATTCTGATCAGATTGATTATATAATTGAAAATAATATTGTTCCAAGAAGAACTGTAAGACAACCAAAGCCTTCACCTTGTTACATGTCATAGAACACTTTATAAACCCGTCGTCCAAGTCAAATAAAACGTAATACGAATGTGTGTTCGTTTCTCCTACAAATGAAATAATCGTACTATAGATGTTATGTTATGTGTATAATGAGCCTTAAGATATATAATAAATTTTGAATAATGAGCTTTAAACGTAAGATTATTTCTAAGAATATGGTTATTAAAAAATTAATAAAACAATTTAATTATAAACGCACTATAAATATTTTCAAATAATAAGTCTTCACCTTGTAATTGCAAGTGATTATGTGATGGAACCCTTAATGTTGTCTTCGGATGATAAATGCTGGTCCGAGTGAAGTAAAACCTTATATGTACGCGAGTGTTTTTCTTTATACAATGCACACCTTTCGATCCAATTCGATCTTATTTAAACTGTAATAATAATAATAATAATAATAATAATAATAATAATAATAATAATAATAATCTAAATTCTAATTGATCCATATTTAACTTTCATAAATCTAATCCGATTTACAATAATTGAATTGGATTAAATAAAACTGAGCTTATAAATACGATAAAAAAAATATAACATAATAATGTCATAAATAAATAAAAAAATATGCATTTGATTATGATATAGATTTATATTTTTGGTGTACTTATTTTTAAAGGAATATCAATGGTACATTTATTATTATAGTTTAAAAGAAGTCAAAAGATTCTAGGCTAGATTTGTTGAGTTCGGGTTATTTTAAGGTGAAACTGGCATTTGATTGGTGTTCAGGAGGAAAAAAGAGATTGAATTAAAATTTTTAAGGTCCAACAATCATCTAAGACAACGATTGTACGGTGACCAACTATGATGATGGTGAGAGACTTTGATCAAATTCGGATGTTAAATTGATATTTTATATAAAATTTAGGAGTTAAAATTCATCTAAAGTTTAAAAATTAAATTAATATTTTATTTAAATTTAATGTACCAAATTATGTTGAAGCTTAAAATCATCACATATATTTTATTGGTTATTAAAATAATAATAAACGCATGTATATATTTTATGCTAATTACCAACTTATATTCTTTCTTCTTTTCCCCTCAAGAATAAACTTTTGGAGAATGTGATATGAGGTTTAATTAATCTCATCCCATTACCCCTATTCTTTTCAAGAAGAAAAAAAAAACATATTTGCATGAACTATATCCAATGTACATATATATATATATATATATATATATATATATAATTTAAAAAGTAAATAGACCAATATATCGAACATTTATTCGAAAAAATATAATAATTTAATTTTTATACCATCTATATTCTCCCACACCACCGCTGACTACACCAAAATATACTTAAGAGTGTTTAATTCACGAAACATATATCTATGATAACATAACTAAATTATCTATTTTTTATTTAAAAGTTGATCATATGATAATACCTCCCACACCATTTTTCTTTTTATTTTGTATGTTATTTGAAAACATTAAAATTGATAATAAAGAATAAATTTTAAAGTTAAATTATCTAAAATAATATTTGCTAACATTTTTTTTGAATAATGTGATGAAAAATAATATTTAGTGTGGTTGTCATAGTATTCTCAAGAGGAGGCTTAGATGGATGAATCTTCTAGAAGACGTCTGAACGGCAAGACGTCTTTGACGAGACTGTACCATTCTATGTAATCATGTGTGCATACAATTAGGAGGAAGACATTTTGTTTCTGGACGTCTTTCAAAAGACGTTATGTTGTCCAGACATCTTTTAGAAGATATCGTGTTATGGGGACATCATCTGACAATTACTATAACCACCACAATTTGATTAAAAAAAACAAATCCTTTTTTTACACTCTACATGAAAAGAAAAAGTCATCACCATGTCTGGACAATTTTATCATTATTTGCTATTAGTAATCTTTTGTTACCTAAGAAGTATATGGTAATAACGTTATCTTTCTATATTCTCAAATAATATTTATTAATGATATTCTTACATTACCAATACCAAATGATGCTGAAAGATTAAACCGAATAATACAGTCGTGGAATATTACATCACCACCTGTAAGATTAAACGAATCGAAAACACTTTAGGGTTCAAACTCAGTTGCTGCACTCAAAATTATTGAGAAGGTTAGAGACTTGAATCTTAACATTGTGATTGAAACAAATTAGACTAAGAGAATTGTCCCATAAATGAACCTCTGCAACGCTTCAACATCGTTAATCCAAAAAAAAATTCCACAGCTGTTGTTTGATGAGGTGTCGAATACAAGCATGGTGGGTTTTCTATTCTTTTTACTTTTACGAACAGACCGCTTTATTCTTGATCCATTATTGAAGCGATGAAGCTAATTAATCATCTTTCAGTTTAAAATGCTGGTTTCATGTTCAATAAATATCAAAGAAACTAAGACAACAGACCAGACCAACAAGTTTCAAAAAGAAACAAGGGAGTTGAGTTAACTGTAAAAAGATGAGTCAGTCTTCTCAAGGGTCGCCTTTCATGGATGCTAATCAAAGGAACCAGGTTGACGATTACAGCGACGGACGACTGGGCAGTGACAACACCGGCAAGAGCCGGCAACAACATCATCAGGAAAGTTTTCAGAGTTCTGGTCGTCTTCAACAACGGCATCAGTCTCGAGAAAATTATCAGATTTCTGATAATCTTCAACAGAAGCATCCTCCTAAGGAAAGTTATCAGAGTTCTGATCAACAACAGCAACAGCATCAAACTCGAGAAGGTTGTCAGAGTTCTGATCATCTTCAACAAAAACTTCGTCCTAAGGAAAGTAATCAGAGTTCTGAACATCTTCAACAAAAACATTGTCCTAAGGAAAGTTATCAGAGTTCTGATCACCTCCTGCAACAACGTTGGGCTCCTCGGGAAAGTTATCAGGGTTCTGATGATCTTCAACAACAGCAACAGCCTCGGAAAAGTTATCAGAGTTCCGATCATCTTCAACAACAGCCTCAGGCTCCACGGGGAAATTATCAGAGTTCTTATCATCTTCAACAACAGCATCAGCCTCCAAAAAGTTCTCTGAGTTCTGATCATCTTCAACAACAGCACACGCCTCGAGAAACTTATCAGAGTTCTTTTCATCTTCAACAACAGCATCAGCCTCCGAAAAGTTATCAGAGCTTCAATCATCTTAAACAAAAGCAGCCTACAGTTACAGATACACCTTCAGAAGCATATGCAGTAAACGATGATTCGTCTTTGATTAACAAAGTTGCTTCAGATCACTCGGCTTCTGTTACTGGTCATTCAAGAGATGCTCAGCCTAGTGGTTATCAGAGTTCCCATTCTCAAACACCTCGGGTTGAGGCTCATTTGACACATGAACAGAATCCCAATAATTATAATCATCGTCGTCTTCTACTGTATCATGAAGAGCGTGATAATTCAACTGAAGCATGGGGCGAAAATGTTCCTGTAAGGAAAGCTTCAAATAAACCAAAGTCATCTTGTTGCCAGTGATAGAACACTTGTATTGTCTTCAGATGCAAGGTAAAAAGAGGGAAAAGAAAAAGAAAATTGTACTTGTGTACTAATATGTATGTATGTTAATTTTTATGTATAATAAGGCTGAAGATACTTAATAAGTTATCTTGAGAGCATGTAAGTTGCATTGGGAGAGCATCAAATCTACTTCAGAAACCAATGGACTAGTGTGGTTTTAAGTGCAATTGTATCGCTTTGTCCTTGAAGCAATGATGCTAAGTTATAGCATCATCTTTCACTGTAATATTCTGGTTTCATATTTAATAAATATCAAAGAGACTAAAGACCAAACTACACCACCAAGTTCGTGAGAGAAAACAGAGGGAGCTGAGTTCCCAGAAAATTTTAAAAAGAAAGCCAATCTTCTCAAGGGTTACCTTTGACGGATGCTCATCAACAGAACCAGGCCGTGCATTGAACGGCCGAGCAGTCACGACAACGCCGACAAGAGCCAGCAGCAGCATTGGCCTTAACGGGAAAGTTATCAGAGCTCTGATCATATCCAACAACAGCAGGCTCAGATCATCTCTAACAAAGTTGCCGGATATAAATGAAAATAAAGCAGATGGTTCAACTGAAGCCTTTGACAAAAATCCTGATGCAAATTCAAAGAAAGGCTAAAAAATATCAAGTTCTTGATGTAGGTGTTCCATCCGCCTTGGGTTGAGGCTCCTTCATTAGACAAACCAATTACCAATAATCATAAGCATCTTGTTCCACTGTATCATGAAGAGCATGGGATAGCCAATCATGAGATACAGTAGATGATTCAACTGAAGCATCAGACACAAATATCGGCGTAAGGAGAACTATAGCACCATCACAATCTTGTTGCTGAATCTCATGAAACTACTGGAGCATCGTAGGTCTGGTGCTGTCCAGGGCACAACGCTAAAAAAAAGTGTTAGTCCAAGTGAAGTAAATGGCCAAATCACAATCAATTACTCATCTTCAGTACCCGTCGGGCAGGGCGGATTTTGACTGGAAGACGCTTATTTGGCAAGGAATTGCTCCCTATAAGGTGGAGGCTTTTGCATGGCGGGTTCTTCTTCGACGAGTCCCGGTCAGATCGGAACTTGTGAAACGTGGAGTAATGACGGTGTCAGAAAGCTGCTGCCCTTTGTGTAACGAATGTGAGGAATCGGTAACCCATCTGTTCTTCTCGTGTGGTATTGTATGGAAAGTTTGGGGAGGGTTTCTTGAAGTTTGGGAGGTCTCCTCTGTTTTGCCCAACGACCCTAAAGATTTCTTCATGGCGTGGAAGGAACTTCTTCCTGCAGTATATAAGTGCAGAATCGTTTGGGGAATCATTCCACAAGCTGTGATTTGGTCAGTATGGCTACATAGAAATGATCTAGTATTTAATGGGAAGAAGCCGGATGTGAGACAGATTAAATTTGCTGCCAAAGTCCGAGTGGTTTGCTGGCTAGAAGCGAAGTTTAAGGGTGCTCCATTCACGAAAGAGGATTTTCTTGCAGATTTGTCACGTGCTACAGATACAATCCTTAAAAAGATGGGGCTGGTGCTATGTTCTTGGAGCCCTCCCCCTGTGGGTACCTTCAAATTCAATGTGGACGGGGCCTTTAAAGCGGATGAAAGTGTTGGGGGAATTGGAGGTATTTTGCGAAACGACGCGGGTAAACTGTTGTTCTCGTTTTCGAATCTGATTGGGAGCGTCTCCCCGCTTTTGGCTGAAGCATTGGCTATTGAACACACATTAGAGTTGACTACGGCTTCAACTTGGCTAAACAACTTCAAGGTGGTAATTGAATCAGATTGCGAAGTGATGGTAAATTGGCTGCAGAATGTCTCTTTGTACCTTCGGAATGGTATTCCTTGCTTCTTCCCATTGTGTCCCGATTTGCACAGGTGAAGGTGGACCTCACCTGCGTTCCGAGAGGGTGTAATGCTTTGGTTGATTGGTTTGCAAAGAAAGCGTTGGGGTGAGGTGAGGTGGCCGCGAGGTGGTGTAGTGTTTTGGAGCCTTAGAATGGTAATGTTGTTTCTGGGCAGCAAAGGATCGGAAACTCTTAAAGGGCTATAATGCGATGTCAGGATGTGTTTTCTGTTTGTATTAAAGGCTCAGGATACTAGGCTAGCCACTTATGACCATGTTTATCTAGCCGATGGTTATATAGTTCATAGGTGTTGAAGTTTTGGAGGGGTTCAATGGATTGCTCTAGGATAGTCCCGTTATTGCTTACGTTGGTTAGGGCGCACACTTTACAATCCAATTATGCTTAGGGAGGTTTTTAATGAGGTACTTGCCAATGTTTTCATTATTATCCCTATATAATGCTTTTCTGAATAAAATTCCTAATTTTTAAAAAAAAATGAAAAAAAAATAGAACATCTTACACAATATATATTCATAATAAACCACAATCACCTTCGCTTAAGGCTCCTTCGGCACATGAACCTTTGGAGACCCGATTCCTATATCTGCCGCATCCAGATAAGCCTGGAATGGCCTTCCTGGAAAAACAGCAGCACCCAGAGATGAAACGGTACCTGCCAATGCTGATTCAACCGAAGTGTTTGCACCCAGAGAACTAAAACAGAATCACATTCCTCCCCTGGTTGCAGCATCTCATGCAACTGCAGTTCATCACTAACGGAGCTTCAAAGATCCGATGTTGTCGAGCCTTAGGCACAATGTGCAAGAAAATCCCATGCTCGTCTCATGCAAATTATGCATAACAAATTAATTGTAATTCACTAACCCATTCCCACTTTCTTCAAGTCTCAAACAAACAAGCATTATAAGCCAAGAACATAAATAAACAGATAAGATACAAAGAAAAATTGCAGGAGTCAGTAAATTTGTATTTCTTGTTGAATAATAAAGGTACCATCGCATTATAAAACTACAAATAACTTATTAACTGCAGGTACAGAATAAACATGAACTAAGATTGAGAAGGTGGCCAAACACTAACTTTTTCTTTCTCGTATTTAACGAACAAAGCCCCGACTGCAGCTACAAATAAATCTGAATGAATATAATCGCCGGCGTATGATAACTTATCACGCTCTTACCCGTAGCCAATTCCACCAAAACCAAAGCCGTCAACCCGAGAATTGCGATCCGTCCGTTTATTCTCTCGCTATATGGGCTGAACCCGAAATCCACTTTCAACCCATTTGATACCGACTCTTTTAAAGGCACCGGAGGGAGGTAGATGGAGGATGACGATGACGATGACGAAGTGGATACGGATCCGGATTTCTTCGATTTTCGGCGCTCCGCTTTCTTGCCGGTTCCGCTTCTGTAACGGATGCGGACTTGGGAGAGGCGGGATTCGAATGGGTCGGAATCGGCTGATGTGGTGGAGGAGGAGTCGGTTTCGGTTGGGGCGTCGGCGTCGGCGTCGGCGTCGGGAGTGGCGAGTGGGATAAAGAAAATTTGGGGTTTGTATAAAGCGTGGAAGAGTGCGCGTGGGGATGGGAATGGTGCCGTCGTTGTTAGTTTGAAAGATGAAGCCGGTGGTGGAAGCGCGGCAACCATTTTCGGCGGTTCTTTTGTTCTTCAGTTCAGTGCACAGAATAGGATAATATATCTTTTCTTTTTCCTTTTAATTTCTTATAAAAGCAATTTGTTTATTTGTTTTTTTTGTGGTATTTAAGTTTTATGTTTAGATTTTTTATTTCTATTGCTTTTCCAGTGGTGGAACTTTTTCTGCCGGTTTATTTGTAATTTTTCTCACTGGAAAATTTATAAAGTAATAAAAGTAAGGCTTAAATGCTCATTGCCTTAACTATATCAATTGTATCGAATTATTTTTAAATTATTTTTTGAGATATTTTATCTTTTCAAATATAAATTATTATCTCTCTTGTCTTAAATCATTAATTCCGTTTAAAAAATTGATGACCAATCAAAACACTTCACGTAATCTTTTTAATTTTAATATTTATTATATAAATAAATAAGATTTAATTAAATAATAAAATAAATAAAATGACTAAAATGCCCTTTTTCCCCACCTCCACCGTAGCACTGCCTCTCTCTTTCTCAACTGCAAAACATCTCTTTCTCCTTTATCCAAAAAAAAAATGTGATTGGAATCAACCGTGAGGAGATGGGAAGCTTCATTCCGATGTCAGTTATGGTTACAAATCAGAGAGAGGTTATGGTCAATCTAAAACAACTCCTTCAACGACCACCTTGTTAGGTCCGTGTTAAGAAACTAAGATTTCTTCCCATAAAAAATGACGGCATCTCAATGCCAGAAATATATTTACTGCCATCCACTTGGTGAGAACATATAAACCCTTACTACAGTGTTTCTTATAAATTCCATATGATTATTGGTTTTAGAATATAACGAGATGGTTATGGAGGGGAGGAAAGTCATAAACAAATAGCATCATCGCCACTATTTTTTTGTGGGTCGCCGCCGAGCAAAGTAGCTAATCCATCAATATAAGATGCTCAATTTGGGCATGATAGGGTCATCACCCCACTTTCATCGCTATTTTCGATCCTACCTCCTTTGGGCTTGTCGTCGTCTCCATCATCCAGTTCAAATGAAAGAAAGTTGTGTTCTTTGATAGCAAATCAACGGTGAAAGTCAAGGAGTTCGATATTCTTGACAGGGATAACCGAGATTGCAGCATCCCTGCACTGGCTTAGAACCCATTTCAATCTACAAAAGATTACATAGATAACGATTATGAGGGTAAAAAAATTGAAACATGGCATGGTTTATAATGGGGTTAATGCTTTTGACACAATATCATTATCTTCGATGTTGAATTTATATGATCTTTTTGAAAGGAGAATGAGATGAATATGGAGGAGCAAACGTATACAACATCAATGGAGTGGAAGGAGTGAGAGATAGGGTAAAGGAAGATGGGGAGAGATTGGAGTTCAGTGGATAAAGGGAAAAGATGAGTGTTGGGGTTGGAGAAAGGACAAGTAATGCTACGGTGGAGGTGGGGGAAGGGGTACTTTAGTCATTTTGTTTATTTTTATTGTTTAATTAAATTTTATTTATTCAAATAATAAATATTAAAATTAAGAGGGTGGCGTGGCGTGGCGTGGCGTGTTTTGACTGATCACCAATTTTTTATTTTAACGAAATTAATGATTTAAAACAAATAGGGTAATAATTTATAGTTAAGAAGACAATATTCTAAAAAATACTCTAAAGACAACTCAGTACATATAATATAGTTC